CGGCGAGGCGGGCGAGATCCGAGGAGCGGGCGGCAACGCACGCGCGGCCGTGGGGCGAATGGGAGGAGCGGCGCCGCAAAGGTCGGACCAACGCCCCTGGATGAGTGCGTGGGTCGGAGCGAGCCGCGCGGCGTAGAGCCCACAGGCTCGAGGCAGCGGTGCCGGGACAGCTGCGGCAAAATCGGGCGAACAATGTCATTTGAAGGGGTGCCTGAGTGGCTCACCAGGGCGCAGGCCGCGGTGACCAGCACGGCGGCGGCCCACGCGAGGCTGATCCAGAAGTTCATGGCGTAGAATGCCGCGTTGCCCCACATCCACTCTGGGGCGCTCTCCTTGGCCAGCTCCACGGTGAAGGGCCGCCGCACCAGCAGGGAGGCCAGGAAATACAGCCCCGTCAGGCCGGACGTCCACACCGGCATCCAGAGGCGCGTGAAGTCGGGGTGCGTGAAGGAGGCCGCCATGGCGACGACGTAGATCGCGATGTTGACCAGGTCAAACGTCTTTGGCCACACCTGGGGGCAGAGCGGGGGACGGGGCCGGGGCGGCAGTGTGGGACGGTGAGGGATAGGACGGCACGTAGCAGGCGAGGGGGCAGGAGGGGGTCCAGCAGGGTGCACTCGAGGTGAGTGAGGGGGCGCACGGCGGAGAGGTGACGGATTAACGTCGCCAAAAAAGGCCGGGCCTTGCAGCGCGGCCTCCCGCGTCACTGGAAGCCCCGACACATTTTGCTGTCGGCTGGCCGGACCTCCACAGCTGCGCGGCACCTGTGAATATGCAGGGGCCCTCACGAAAGCCCCTTCTCGCGCCACGGCGTCGCAACAGCGGCAGGCGCATGCGCATGCGAGCCTGCGCCCACCTTGAGCACCCCCCGCCACCTCAGCGCGGTGGCCACCAGGAAGTTGAACACCGCCACGCAGGCGGCCACGAGGGCGGCCACCCTGATGTCAGGGATGACTGCCACCAGGATCATGGGGGAGAAGGAGGCGTAGGAGCCCGCCTTCTGCAGGATCCTGATCAGAAGATGGGGCTCCTGGGGGCCTGGAATCAGCGCGGGCAAGGGCGCGACCGGCGCAGTGGGGTTTTGAGTGATGGGTTGTGCAGGTGCCGCGGCTGCAGGCGGGTGATGATTCTGCACATGGTGCGGAAGCCCGGGTCAAAGGGCCACCCTGCTGGCGGGTGTGCAGGGCAGCCAGAGTGGTCCCTGATGTGGAGGGGGCCTTCATTGGCTGCTCGCAAGTTATTCGTGGGCGGCCCAGTTGCACGCACCTGCCTCGCCGCGCGCATGCGCGGCCAATGCTGCTTCGGCGAGCTGCCTGAATGCCTCAGCGTCGCTCGAAGCTGGCGCAGTGCTCTCCTTCCCTGTTGGCAGCAGCGCTGCGCCAAGCGAGCCGCCTGTGGCGGCGGCAGCGGCTCCCATCTCTGCGGTGTCGGCTGTCTTGGCTTCTGGAAATGGCGTCACCATTATTGCCTTTGCCCAACAACACAAGTGCAGGCTCTGGCAGCGTGTTCACGTCGATGTTCCGTGGCCTCTGAGTCTCAGGTCGCGTCGTGTTTCACTCGCATGTGTGTCGGTGTTTCGTCTGTCATAAGTGATACAGCTGTTGTGATACCCGCACACGCCCGACGGTTGGTCACATCGACAGCACGATTACTCACTTGGGCAACGGAAGTGCCAAAAGTGTGAGAGGTTGTGTACAGCTCGCAGTCACGGCGCAAGTGGTGCACAGGAGGAGGAAGAGACACCTGAACGCGATTGCGCATGATCCACAGGTTCCTTGAAAGACTGAAGACAACTTTCGCACAGCTGCCGCCGCTGCGGCGGGCGCCACTTGTTCCTGGAGTTACACAGCTTGCTGTGGGGTGAGCAGTGCTGATCAGCTGCACCTTGCAGGAATATGCGCCAAAGACGAACCGCAGGCTCTGCGCTAACGCAGCAGCTGCGCAGGCACAACGTCTCTGGCGAGCGGCCTTGTGCACAATGGAGTGCAACGGGTTGAGTGTCCAGCTGCTGCAGACCCATGACGGGCGGCCGGCAGAAGCGCGCCGCCGCCTGAGGGGCGGGGGCACCACGGTCACCAACTAGGCATTGGTCAGCCGGGGCCGCCAAGGCCAGCCGCCGCCCTTTTCACGCAAGCAGCGGCCAAGCCTGTGCAGTAGGCGCACAAGGGGGCAAATGGGTGGGCGTAGCAACGGCAACAAGCGGCAAGGGAACCGTCGGCGGGCGCATAGCATCTGCTCCACGGCGGCATCGTACAACATAAGGGCACGGTACGGTGGACCTTTGTCACATTGCAGATGGTTTGAGAGCCTTGTCATGTGTGGTAGGGGAGTTCAGCTTCTTGAGGGTGGCAAACACATGTGTTTGCATGACCCCATTCCCTGGATCCTGCGGCACAACGCCGGCACTAAATGCAGGCGGGAGGCACACGGCTTGCGCCACGGCGCAGAGGATTCCACAGCGTCAGGCAGGGGCGTGGCAGGTGATGCCTGGAGCCAGAACACATGCATAGGATGCCAAGAAGGTGGCATCGTGGGCACAGTAGGCCAGATCAGGCGTCACGCCCGCAGTGTGGACAAATGAGTGTGTGTGTATTGTGTACTTGTGTGTGTGTGCGTGTGCGTGTGTGTGTGCGTGTGTTTGCATGTTGATGCGTGCGCGCCCGCAAAAGCGCACACGCGAGGTTGCACGCAATGGCATGAGTGAGCTGTGTTTGTTTGTCACAGGCAAGTGGTGTGGGTGCAGGAAACCTGTGCAGGGTGGTCAGGTGTGCGGGCATATTGTGCACAACCCCCTTTGTAATACTAAACTATTTAATGCCAAGCAGAGCAAGTATGTCAGGGCAACACGCCTGTATCAGCACCAGCAGAGCAAGCGCCCTCGCCTTCGATCCCCGCCACGCAAACTCTCCCGACGCTGCTGCGGTTGCTGCTGACTTTGACGCCGATACCGTTGCCGGTGCCGTCGCTGAAGCCGCTGCCGCTGCCGCTGTCGTCCTGGGTCCCTTCCGGCTCGCTCATGTTGCGCCCAGCTGCAGCCGCGATCTCCTCGGCCAGCCGCCGCGCCTCCGCCCCCAGCGCCTCCTGCCGCTGCACCCTCCACGCCAGCACATCCCGCAGCAGCCCGCCCGTTGGATCTGACGCCGCCAGAATCGCGGCCTCGGCCGCTGGCCGCCCCTGGGCAAGCGCGTTTGCCAGGGCCTGCACGCGCTGCTGCTCGGCACGCAGGCGCTCAAGGGGGTCCACGGCTGCTGATTGGGGGGGGGGAGAGGGCAAGGGGGACGCAAGACATCAGAAACAGTCAGATCAAGGAGACAGGTGGTGCTGATTCACGCAGTCATGGGTTCACTACTGCTATCACCGGCGCATCCCAACCAGGGTTGATGCAAGCACGCACGGCACCTTGGCCCACCAACTCCCTGACATGCACCTGTCAGCGGGGGCCTGGGGGGCGCCAGCACGTCAGGCCCCGCCAGGTCAGCCTCCGGGTCAAACCCCGCCTCGTCCACGCGGCTGAGGGGCTGCCGCGCCCTGGGATCCTCTCCAGGCAGGAGGTAGCCGTACTGGAACAGGGCGATGTCCGGGGTCATGTGGCCATATGCATTGCACACCTCCCGGCCGGCGGCGACTGGCACCTCAGTCCGCGAGACCCAGCACGGCTCACTGCCGGCACCAGAACGGGGCTGGCCAAGGGGCGGCGGCTGCGTGCACGGCTCGACGCCGTGGGAGATGGGGCAGCCGTTGCGGCTGCGAGGGAGGGTGAGGGGAGAAGGTCGTGGCGAGTGATTAGGTAATGTGACCACTGTCAATGTGGCTGTGGCTGCGTGCGCAAATACTGTCAGCACGTGAAGTAAAAGGTGGGAGCATCAACTTGGCGAGTCGAGTAGCCTTGGCAGCACGCGTCGTGTGTGCATGTGGTCAAAAGTTGATGCTGCATTATAAGCACACCTCATCCTGCTGCACTGCACACGTGCAGCACGCACACACAATTGCAAACTCGGCAACGTCCGCGTGCGCACGCATGCGTCCGCGTGCGCACGCATGCGCGTGTAGAAAGCTCATCATCAGATATCCTTTACGTCGCACTCACTGGTTGAGCATGTCGAGTGCGGGTATCAGGAGGGTGTGGCCACCGTGCTCTCCACCAGGGGGCGCCTGGAACATGCGGGTAGTCAGCTGCACGCACGAGGCAAGTTCCGTGAAGGCGCATGCAAAAAGGCAGGGGGCGCATGCTGCGTGAATGAATGGAAAGATTTGAGGTGGATGGCGTGCTCATTCAACCCTGACGTGCACATGCCCATGTTGCCGACCCACGCTACGTGTGAATGCCAGTGTTTGTACACATACATGCGTGCTCATGTGCGCGCGCACACACACACACACACACACACACACACAGAGACAGAGACAGAGACAGAGCCAGACCAAAGGTGATGTTTCCAAAGAGCCTGCACAGCCATACCTTTCCATCTCACTTGTCAGACGCCTGGCAGCATTTACTCTCATGATGCTCACCAATACAATAGCGCTCCTGAGGGACTCGATGGTGACACCAGCGGCCGACAGCCGCAGCCCGTGACGGCTCCAGTAGCGCCCAACAGAGGCCTGGCGCTGCTGGGCATAATCAACCTGCGCGTGAGGTGGTATGCAAACCCACAGGGACATGTGACAGCAGGCGCAAGGTGATGGCAGCTGGAGGCACAGGGACCACAAATGGTAGCAGCCCAAGCAGGACGTGCGGCCGCACCAGCGCTGGCGACTGCAGCAGGTGGAGGTACTCAGCCGGGAGCCCCTCCCAGCTCATCGGCGGCGCGCTGCCGCCGCCCTCGCCGTTGTTGTCAGCACGTGGGAGTGCGCCAAAGTATGGCGAAAAGGGGCTGCTGGCATTGACCGCCTCGACAGCCACCAGCTCTGCCAACTCCTTTGGGGGGAAGGAGGGAGGTCATTAAGCTAAGGGGGGTCATCACCAATGCAGACGAACGGATCAAACGTAAACCCACTTCGAGCAATGATGCGCAGTTGGCCCAAATGAACGGGCTTTGGGGCGCACGCAGTGGCACGCTGCTGAGGCGGATCGCTTCACGTGGCTGCAGAGAGCCGTCCGGGTAATGGGACACACTTGCATGCAAATGGCGAGAGCAGGCGGCCAGCACTGCACCGTGCGGTTCAGGCAGCAGCTAGCGGAGCGCCTTGCAAAACAGGCGTGCGCTGTCAAGATGCAAGCGTGACGTTAGGGCCACACTGAGGCAGCCCACCGCCAGGTACACATCTGGGAGCTTGAAGGTCAGTCGCAGGGGGACACTGAGGATCTGGCGGTGAGAGGTGGAGGGCAGGCATGCGCATTAGAGTGGCGAAGGTGATTGCGATCCCAGTCCAATCGTCACTAGAGCCAGCAGCCCGCCTGATAGGGAGGATCAACCACAAGGTTGAAGCTGCAAGGGCAACCGATGTACGATGGCAATTTCACGGAGGAAGGGGGTTGTTGCAGCGCGCAAAGTGTTGGGTGGAAGGGTTGCCTGTTTGCGGTGCAGGAGCGCTCACTTGGGCCAGCTGCCCTGTGACATGGCTTCAAGTATCAAAGGGAGCAGGCGTATGAAATCCATGCAGGCCCGAACCAGTGCTCAAGAGAGCAACTGTGGGCCGTAATGCGACAGCGCCCGACATGGCCAGTGCAAAAAAGACCATGTGCCGCCCGGCGGGCGAGCCCCTCGCGACACTTAAACAACGTTCAAGTTGCCTCCCTGTGGCAGGGAAGGCCTTGCATGTGACTGCCTATGAGCCTCCTGTGACTGACACTTCCCTCTAATTGCAGTGGAAATGCTGTCCCCCCTCCCCCGTCCTGCCCAGAAGTGCACATGCACGGGCCCTTGCACCGCCCCCGCTGGGCAGATGTCAACTGCGCATGCAATCCATTGCCACCCGTGAGTGCACATCTGCATGTACGGCATGCTATATAATGGCTATGAACCTTAGCCTGACCTGAGTGCCACATGCGTGTGCGCGCGTCCTATCACGCTGCGTGTTCCCAAGTTGGCAATCGTTATTCAACAAATGCAACAACTCACCACTCCGCCTGCGGGGATGTCTCGGGAGGCGTAGCCGCCCCTGACACCTTCTGATGAGAACCCTGCATCAAAGTTGACTTGCGCGCCGCCACTGCCCAGCCACCTCCACAGGCCGTCCTCTGGCGCCTCAGTAGCCTCCCGAGTGCAGTTGCTGTCTGGAGCGGCTGCCGCCCGTGTGCTTGACAGCGCTGCGATCAACAGGACCACTGATGCGAACACATGCACCGATGGGTTTTGCTTGGTCGGAGCAATATAATCCATCAATATGGCCATCGCTTTGCAGTACAATCGATACTTCCTGTGTGGACAGGTCCCTGACCACGGTACTACAACCTTTGGTCAGTATATCTATAATATCAAACGGTAAGGCGTTGCATAACCAACGCCAGGATTGTTGAGAACCACGTTGCAAAATACGGCCGATCACAACGAATGTCGTTGCCTTCCCTCCAGTCCTCCTCTTGTCATTGCACTCCCCGTGTCGCTTGTAGCTCTTTCCAGGTATTACGGCTCACAAGTAAATTCTCCATCGCACGTCACCTGCCGCCGTGCGCACCTTAGTGGGGTGGTGCCGCAAGTCAGCATTTGCTGGCTTGCAACGAAGCGCAGACGGTACCACTCACACAACAGTGTGCCACTGCCAGGCAGCTCATTGCCATCGGCGGGGGTGGGTTGCAGCATGTGAACTTGGCAAAGGGATCTGGTCAAAGGGTTGCGTGGCACCTCGTCACAGCACTGGCTACAATGAGGGCGCATGCATGAGGCGTGACCGAAGGTGGCAGATGTTTGCTGCATAGAAGGGCCGCCTGCTGGTTCTTTAGGCACGGGAACCCGTCGCCGGTGTGGCGCGTGCTTGCAGCCGGCAGTTTCTGCTTCGCCCCCCAGCCTTTGATCAGGCATGCAGGGCGGCTCGGCATTTGCCACAGCTGCGCGGAGTCCACATCACCAGCTTATTTACCTTCATGCGCTGCCTTACTCACCTGCCTGTGCATGCACTAAAAAATCATACTTGCCATCTGTGCGTAACAGACATGTGTTTTTGTATAAGAGCACAACAGCAGATATGGTGACTGTGGAGGCCCCAGCATATGGCCAGTGGAGCCACATCATTTGGCATTACAGTGTGTCCATGCGTTCGCCGCTGCAGATGTAATTCAAGGCGGCACTGCCGCTGCCGCCCGCTTGACAACCCTCAGCAAGGGGCCGCTTCCTCCCAGACGCTGCACCAGCATTGCCCACCATGCAAATGAAGGGCGTTCGAGCAGGCCTGCAGTTGGTAGGTGCATGGCTGACGGCCGTGTCGCAAAAAATGCGGTTTGCGCCTTGGGCAGACACGCCACAGGAGTGTTGCCTGGGACATTTGCCGGCTGCCAGGTGAGCAGGCAGGCTCCGGTGCCATTGTGAATCCATGGCTGTGAGGCTGCCCACTCTGCCTACGGAGGCCAAGGTGATGTCCCTTACGTCTTTGCAGGTAAGCCGGCCTGCTCTGCAGGCTACACTTGCCAGGCCATTGCTGTGCTCACCCACAGCGTGCACATGGACACACCAACATCATGAGTCCGCGCCGACGCTCAAGTCTGTCCATCGCCTCTCAGCTTGTCATGTAGTTCTGCTTACATTTTACACAGTCAAAAAGGGCACGTTGCTGCCCATAAGCCCACGTGCGCGCTTGATGAAGCCCAGGAGTGTGACCGAGCTGGAGGTTCTTTGCATTCCTACCTTCTGCCCCTTGCGGGCGTTTTCATACAGCTTTAAACCCTTCGTGTCGTTTTTTCTTGAGTACCCTCACATCCTCCCACACTTCGCGATACCGTAGTGATAATTCTTCAGCACCGCTTTTGAGGCAGATCCAGGGATCTGTGACCCCCCATTGCAATATGGTTTTAAACTCCGCGCTATCGGATGCAGCCACAGTGGCCAGCGTCCTCGAGGGCAGCGACTCGGCGCTCGCCGTGGCGGT